ACTTCTAAACCAGCATAACCAGTCCTGCCCTAAGAGTTGCATTGGAAATGCTCTCAAAATTGTCCAAAGCACTTTGCATGCAATGCCAATCAGGGACCAATTTTGACTCTTCATGCAACATAACTGAGGAAGAAGAAATAAGACAACCGACGTGTGGGATCAAAGAGAATGGCCAGTGGGATCTTCCTAAAGAGGAAAAACAGATACTTTCTGATTTTCTAACAGTATGATTTGGGGATTATTCTGATTCTTCCCCCCAGATATCCCCCTTGGGCAATCTCCCTCTCCATAGGGCTCATCAACAGTGTGAGCAAAGATGAGAGAGATGAAATGCAGAGCTACCTTGACAACAGGTCTGCTAAGTGATTTGGTTTGAGAAGAGGCTGTAACTGCTCTAGAATCTCATTCTCTAGCACACCAGCCATGTCAATGGTTATAAGCTCCTTCAGGTGCATTTCAATTTTTTCAACCCTCTCCAGGTTTGGATTTATCCTACAATCTAATGTGGAGGGTGTCTTCCCCTTTATGATTTTTCGAGGGGCAAAGAAATAGGCATTGGCCAATCCTATGTAAAAACCAGGTCATAGAAAGCTATGGTTTGAGATAGGCACTTCCAGAGAGTGGCTTGACCACACAGGGAGGTGGCTTTTACAATAAAAGATGTTCTTCAGGAGCAACAAGGTTGTTATGCCCATTTTACAGTTGGCAGCACAGAGCTTTAGAGAGATAAAGTAAGTTTTCTCTCATTTATGTAAGACCAAGAGCATCTGACTCTAAGGCACTCAAGCTCTAAAGCTCTTTGCTATTCTACCTCTCAGCATCTCCTAAGGGAATCAGAATTTCAAACCGGAAGGTGATCTGGTTCATCCTTTATTTTCTAGATGACAGATTGAGAACCTTGTCTAAGGACTGAGGGTGGGCTGGTAAAAGCATATCACCTAAGGCAAGAGATAGCAGAACCCAGAAGTGCGTGCTGCGCAACTGTATGGATTTTATATTGAGGAATGTCTAACAGGTGAATTCTGGAATTTTATATCATTTTAAGGTTAATGTGGCAAATTCATAAATTTAGGGACAAAGAAAAAGAATTCGATACAGGGGTCAGCCAAAGTAGGTTTACAGTTGTGAGTGTACAAAACAGAGAGTTTATGCTTCCATCATTATTTATTAATTATTGTATTACTTATTTGTACAATCCACTTTTGTCCACCCCCTATAATTACCCATTAAAAGAGGAGTATAAAAAGGTCCTTTGGGGTAGATTGGAACAAGATCGAAAAAGACAATTTTGGGGAAAATTAAGACAGAAAGTTTTTGTGTGTGAGTGAACATATTTAAATTTGAAATGACAATGAAATGGCCAGAAAAAAAAATCAAGTGAAATAGCCAAGGACATGGAAAGAACTGGTGGGCCTTCGCCTGCTGCAGGAATTGCTTGTTTGGGGAGATGGGGTGGATGGAGAGAAAATCGCTCTTTTTTATTGTTGTGCAAGCTAAAAATGGTAAGGCTGCCTTTTGAAAATTGATCTACTCTTTATTTTACTGAAAAACAAAACACAGAACAGAATATGAGTCATTTGGATTTATACACAGTTCCCACAAGAACCCAAATTACAAGTAGGATAAAAATCATCTTTCTGGCATTCATTGCGGGCCAAATAGTTCTCCTTAAAATTGGATGAAAGCTAAATGCCAGTGCTGTGGCCACAGCCTTGCTTTGCTTCCTGGGCTGGTTTTCTGGTGTCACATCCCCAGGAGTGGCCTGGACAAGTTTGCCTTTAGGTTTTCCCACTGTCCATTACAAAGCCTTCTGCCTCCTTGGAGGGCACGTTAAGAACACCCTGTACCCACACTGTCCCTACAGGCTGGTGTCTTTTGTCCCTCTCAACCAAGAGGCCTATCCCTTTGTCCTTCTCTTTATCTCTTTCCAAAACTATCAGTGCTTGTCCTTGGGTCCCTACTCTCAACAATCTTACAAACTCATTTACAGAGTCACTGAGTCATTGACCAGCAGTAAGTTCGGCATTTTTATTTCTCAGAAGCATTTGCTTCCTCTTTCCCATCCCACCCCCAACTTTGAAGTAGAAGCCCTAACCCCTTACCCAGAATGAAACATCGCTTTTTAAAAAAAAATACATTTTATTGATTTTTTACAGAGAGGAAGGGAGAGGAATAGAGAGTTAGAAAGATCGATCAGCTGCCTCCTGCACACCTCCCACTGGGATGTGCCCGCAACCAAGGTACATGCCCTTGATCGGAATCGAACCTGGGACCCTTCAGTCCATAGGCCGACACTCTATCCACTGAGCCAAACCGGTTAGGGCAAAACATTGCTTTTTATTAGAATTTAGGGCACTTGGAAGGGTAGCCTGCTCTTCTGACCTTGGTCTCCTTTCACAGATCTGGACTTTGGCACAAGCTGTTTTTTCTGCCTGGAATGTCCTCTCACTCCACCATTTCTATTTGGTGAAATTCCTGCTTAGTGTCCATAACCCTTCCCAAAGGTGATCTCTATCCAGAAAATCTCCCTGACTCTCTAGAACTGGCTACCCCAGGAGCCACTACCCACGTGAAGCTGCTGAGCCCCTGAAAGGGGAGTCCTCCAAAGTAAGACGTGCTAAAACGCACATCGGATTTATAAAACTTAGCATGAAAAAATAAAAGATCTCACTATTTTTTATATTGATTACATGCTGAATGCCGGGAGCCAATTCCAGCATGACAGCAAGGGCTTAATCATCTGGAGTGGCAAGGGCATTTCCCCAAACCTGAAAAGGGATGATTGTTTGCTGCCAGACAGCTCAGGGCATCTTAATCTACATGTTATTGCCTCCTACTGGCCAAACACCTGAACAGCCGTAGGCTAGTACTTCCAATCTGACAATGGACTCTGTATATGAAACCTACTCTTTGAAGTGTATATCTCCACCTCACCTCAGGAAAATTTGTGTTAATAAAAAGCATGGGGTCCTGAGACGAGGAGATCTTAGTTTCTTTAGCTAGGCTCCTCTGACCCCCAATATGCCTTTCAAAATTATGCTTTGTCTCTGGACTCTTTATTAAGTTACACACAGCCCCTTCTCCAGATTGCTGAACCCTTCTCCACCGCAAATCTATATGAACCGAGTTAAAGACGGCTCCCGCGGAGTACGCGCAATTCACGCGAGCCGACTTAACTCGTTTCCCGCACTCCAAGTGTTAATGCCGGAACAAGAACCCCGGCAGCTGAAATAATAATATTTTGGATATATTGAGTTAAGGAAAATATGTTATCAAATCAATTTCATGTGTTTCTCTGTACTCCTTTTTAATGTGGCCACTAGAAAAGTTCCAGTGACATTGGTGGCTCATGTTTGTGGCCTGCATTCCGTTTCTGTGGGTGGCACTTTGCTCGTGTCTAGACCAGTGGTTTTGAAATGGCAGTGGGAGCTGAAGCATGCAGCTGCTTTCTGTGTGCATGACCTTGGAGTGGCACTTTGGAGTAAAATAATATGTTTCTGATGTATGTCAATAACATATTCAAGGTAACCAATGAAGAACATATATTCGGTCTTCATTGCTATATCCAAGCAATATTAATCTCTCATTATACATGAAATCCCCATTTCCTCTTCTCCCATCTCTAACTCCAAAGATAAAAAACAAACAAACAAAACAAAACAAAACAGAAAAACCAGTGTGATAATGTGTGTAGAGTCTTTTGTTCAGTTCACCAGCCCCTGGACTGAATGTGAAATATGAAATATACTCCAGTTTAGCATAGAGAACTGTGAGAAAAAGTAGAAGAAGAAGGAATGAAGCTAATAGTAGCGGCTACACACAGTGCTAGACACTTTAACACAATGAGATGTTCTTGAACTGTGCTTAGTGGAACCAAAGTTCTGAGCGCTATTCATATACGTATTGTGTTCGGGTGGGGCGAGGGGAGAAAGTTTCATGGCTGAATCGCAGTGGAAAATGTTGTACTAATCCGTTAACCAGATTTCTTAATTGCAGGACTTTCTGAAGACTTTAATATACAGTGAAGCATGTGATAGCTCAAAAGGGAAATGTTGAATTCAGTGTTTACCAACTTATTTGATCAATAATTCTCTTTTGAGAAGCACCCATCAACATCACTGGTTGGTAAAATGTGTCATAGACAATGTTGCATTTTATGGGGAGGAAACTGTGGCTTAGGAAGTTAAGTGTCTTGCCCAACATTTCCCTCTCACATAATTGTTTTGTGGCTGAGCCGAAATTCCAAATTGATATTTATGCCAGAGGAGAGAATTTAAACATGATCAGAACAGGTTAGTATTATTATTATGGATAATTAAAATAAACCGATGAACAAAATAGATCCAGAGACATAGAAGCATGGAACAGATTGATGAATCTCAGAGGGAAGGCAAGGAGAGGGTGGGGGATGGGAAGAGATTAACCAAAGAACTTGTATGCATGTGTGCATAACCCATGGACACAGACAATAGTGTGGTGAAGGCTTGGGGGGTGGGGCGTGCTGAGTGGAGGGAGTCAGTGGGGAAAAATGGGGGACACCTGTAATACTTTCAACAATAAAGATAAATTTTAAAAAAAGAAATACACTTAAAAATGACAATTCTCTCCACATATTCCAAGTTCATTGCCCCTCAGTTCAGATTCCACTCCCTCTTTGGTCTCCTTGGATGAAAGGGGTCTCCTTTTCTGCATTTTCCAATATTCCTCATTTAAATCTTGGCACACATTGCTTTATTGTTAGCTTTTTATATGTATGTGTCTTATCTCTCCCAACAAATTAGAGCTTGCTGTGGTTTTTCTTTGAATGCCTCACAGGGGCTTGATAGAACCTTCTTGGTTTATTAATGACCAGTTTGTCTGGCTTAGTTATTGATGGTTTGCGGTATCTTTTAACAGTATCCAAACACTATGGAATATTGGCTCTTGGTTCAGAGCCATCACATGTTCACCTAAACTGCCAAGCCAGTATCAACTAGGCATGATGTTAAACACCAACATACCTGTAAAATACAGCTCATGATATCAGAGGCGATTTTTGCATGGGGGGTGTCTTCGTCTTTCCCGGAGGGTCTCAGGTTGTGCTCCAGGCAGGAGTCCCAGAGCCCTACGAGGGCCTTCGCGTGCTTTTCAATGGACTCTGTCTCTCTGATGGCTGTTGTGATTCTTGTGATGCAGATCTCAACCACGGCCTGGTCATTGTTGTTGGTTTGGTAATCCTATTGGGAAGAAAACCTTCACTTAAATAATACTATGGAAAATAATCGCTCACAGGTTCGACAAAATACATACTGAGTCATTTAGCAAACAGGTGGGCCACACTGTGTGCTAGGAGGTAAGGCCCGATACCAACAGGGCCTCCTTCTTCGGAGGCGGACTCTTGAGGAAGAGGCAGAGTTGAAAATGTGCTCAAATGGAGCAGGTCCATGTGTCACAGACACACAGACAGGGAGCAGTGAGAGGCCAAAGGAACTTAATTATTCCCTTGCAAGTGGGTTTAATCTTCAGGCTATTTCAGTTTCTAAGTCCATTATTTTTTGCTCTGACATTTCAGTAACTTCAGTGAAATGTTTCAAGTTACCCTCCCACTTCTCCTCATAAGCTTTCTCTCTCTGTACACAATAGAATACATCATGTCATCTTTCTTTTTTCAATACAGATAACTTCCAAATCCATATTAACTTTTCCCAATGCTGTTCTGTTCTAATTCTCCCTCAAATACCTAATCATCTTTATTGAGAGATGATATGATCCTTCAAAACATCTAAATGTGAAAAACAGGCACACTGGTTTAATTTGGAAATCGGTCTGACTGGGAACTCCACGGTGGACTGACAAAACTGCAAGCATAATAGAGCAGTGAGGCCATCAGAGAGAACGTGATGGGGCTTTCTATCCCACTGCAAGTTCCAGCTCTAACAACTTTTTTATACTATTGCCACTAATGCTGCAGTAACCATCTTATACACAAAGCTCTCTATCCCTTTTTTAAATATAAAGATTTTTTTAAGATGAGAGAGAGAGAGAGAGAGAGAGAGAGAGAGAGAGAGAGAGGAAGGGAGACACACAGAGAGAAACATTGATTTGTTGTTCCACTTATTTATGCATTTATTGGTTGCTTCTTGTATGTGCCCTGACCAGGGATCGGATCAAACCTACAATGTTGGCGCATCAGGACAACACTCTACCCAGCAGCCAGGACGAAGCCCTCTCCACACTCTAGATTACTTCTAGCCTACATTCTCAGAAGTGGAAATTTCTGAGGAAAAGGAGAGGAATATTTTTAAGGCTCATGATACACTCTGCAGAATTATTTTCCAGAAAGGTCTTACTGATTTATACTTTCATCAGCTGGGTGAAAACATGCTCTGCCTATTGTACCTTTGCAAGAGCAAAGTATTTTTAAGTTTTGCTAATGTGATCAGTGAAAAACAATACCTCATTGCTATTTTACTTGGAATTTCCTTGATAGGAAGGGAGATTAAATATTTTGTCATGTTTATTGGCCATTTGTATTTCCTCCTTTAGGAATTGCCCACTGTATCTGATGTCTATTTTTCTTCAGATGACTTCATTAGTTTTGGTCCTCCCTTAGTGCAATATCTTTTTCTATTAAGGATATTAAGTCAACTTTTGGCATATTGCTTATGAATGTGTCTCCATGCTTCAGTATTTTTAGATTTTATTTTATTTTATTTGCTGCTATTTATTGACATGCTAAGTATTTAGGTAGTCAACTCTGTCAATCTTTTGGGGGCTTTATTGATTTTCATTTTTCAAATGGGAAATTTAAGTTGTTTAAATTATTAATATTTTTGAAAATGAAATTTATGGACATGGTTCAAAAATTGAAAAGATACAAATAAAGAGTTCACAGTGATGAGTAGTCTCCCTCTCACCCCAGTCTCCTTGCCAAAGGGAGACCAGGATCGCCAACTGCTCACATACTTGACAGAGGCCCTCCAAGCACAGGCAAATGTTCATTTACACAAACTCCTTTCTTTCTCTGTAACTTCTTTAGCAGCTTTTCTTTTCACTTCAAGTTTTCCTTATCAAAGGTTTGATAAAATTTCACCCATATTTTTTCTAGATTAAAAAATATGTGAAAACATTAACATTTGGTATTTTAGAAATTAATCTCTTCAGTATTCACTTAACTCTTAAATCTATCTCATATTTATGGAAGTAAGAAAATATGCACATTGTATTCTGACTAGCTAATCAAGTTTTCCCACCATTATTTACTGAATAATTCATTTTCAATAATTGGTTCATATACATCAGGTTCATTTCAAGGACATCTTTTTGTTTGCTTGTTCCATTTCTCAATTCTTTTACAATACTAATTTAGCTATTTTCTTCATCTAAGCTTAACAAACTTTTAAGTGTTTATTGGTGCATTTTATGTTTTTGTTGTTGCTGTTGGAAAAATCTGTGTTTTTTCCTCATTATAACTTTTAGTTATTGCTGATTAAGTCAACCTGCAGTTGACTTAATTTGTATCCAAATGTTTAGCTCCACTCTTTATAATTTTGATAATTTTTCAGATCATCCTCATAAATTTTTTGGAAGTATTTTTGTATTATATCTATATCTCCTATATATCTCCTGGTGTATTGTGTCAGCTATGATTTCCTAAGCTATTTCACACAAAAGTGATAAGAGCAAGAATACTGGTTTAATATCTTGTTTTTATTTCCTTATTTTTGATATAAAATGTTATGGCCAAAAGCAAGAAAATGCTAAAATGTTTTATATTATCCTAATATATAAAAAGCCAGGGGCCGTCATGATTGAAACAACCGGACAGAGGACCAAACAGCAGGCCAGCCTGGGGTTAGTGAGGGATGATCAAACAACTGAACAGCAGTCTGTGTGGGGTGACCAGGCTGGCAGGGGAGCAGTTGGGGGCAACCAGACTGGCAGGAGGGGCAGTTAGGGGTGACTAGGTCAGCAGGAGGGCAGTTGGGGGTGACCAGGCTGGCAGGGGGTGCAGTAAGGGCAACCAGGCTGGCAGAGGGGGACAGTTGGGGGTGACCAGGCCAGCAGGGGGGGGCAGTTAGGGGCGATCAGGCAGGCAGGCAGGTGAGCAGTTAGGAGCCAGTGGTCCTGGATTGTGAGAGGGATGTCCTACTGCTGGCAGTCGGACATCCCCCGAGGGGTCCCAGACTGCGAGAGGGCACAGGCTGGGCTGAGGGACCCCCTACCCCCGAGTGCACAAATTTTTGTGCACCGGGCCTCTAGTAATATATAATAATAAAAGAAAAATTTCTCCAAGGAAAAAATAGCAATCCTAAACTTGTATATACATAATTATAAAGCTCCCAGATTCATAAAGCAAACTATTTTCAAAGTTTATTTGTTGAATAAATGGAAAAATTATAGATAAATTATTAGGATTAATAAGAGAGCTGAATGAGTCTACTGGATACAAGACCACTACACAAATGCCATTTCTGTTAAAATCACCTTAAAATATACTTGTGAAATACAATTTTTAAAAAGGATGCCATTTATAATCTCAGCTAAAAATGTAATACTTATAAATTGAAAAAATATGTGTAGACTTTTAAGATCCTTGAGAAAAAAATGATAAAACTGTATTGAATGATACTTAAGAAGGGCTAAATAAATGGATAGGTATACAAGATCTACAGATAAAAAGATTATGCCATAAAGATGTTAATCTTGTTCAAATTAATCTATAGACAATGAAATTCCAATCAAGGTATGACAGAATCATTCATGTAACTTGAGAAATCTAATACAAAATTATCAAAGAACACAACCAAATCAAAGCAATTTTAAAGAAGGGATTGGAGATACTTGTCCTACCAGATATTAATATTTATTATAATAAAAAGTGAAATGCAAGCTATATTTGGAGTAAGAGATGCATAAGTGACAAAGGATTAATACAAGAATATATAAAAACTCCCTCAAATTAATAAGAAAAACTATATATTTTAAATCTCAAAAGAAAAATGAAAGAAAAACAAAACCCAATCATAAATAAGTGCTTTACGGAGAAGGAAAGCCAAATGACAAATAGCAAATAAACTTATTTTTAAAATGATCAACTACACTAATAATGAGGGAATTGCAACTTTTAATGATAATCAGATACTCTGTTTTACTTAAATTGACAAAAGCTTTAAAAATCTCATAAAAGCAAGCATTGGTGAGGTAAGGCCACTGGAACTCTTATTCATGGCTAATGGGAGTGTAAATTGGTGCAACCACTTTGGAGACCAATTTGGTGGGACATCAGAAAGTTGAAAACATTCAAAACCTCCAAACCAATGGTTTCATCCCGAGTTGTGTACACTAGAAATACTAGTACATTTGCCAAAATTGCTAATCATAAGAATGTTCACTGTAGCACTGTTTAGATAATAAATGGCCATCGAATGAAGAATGGATAAACAAATTGTGGCACAGCCTTGTAATGGAATTCTCTATCCCACTGGAAACAAATGAATTGGATCTACATGCAGCGACATAGCTAAACCTCAAAAACATAATATTGAGCTTGTAATTGTATTTATATAAAGTTTAAAAACATGAAATATAATACTATAAGTGCTTTTGAATCATGACCATGTAGCAAACAGATAAAAACATGCACAAATAAATACCACAATCAGGATATTGATTACCTTTGGGAGAAAAGGGAGGAGAAATGGATTAGAGGTTGTTATGCAAGTGATTTTAAATTTTATCTAATTGCTTAAATTGGGTGAATTTTGAGTGCCTAACATTTTTTATTGTTATAAAAAATTAGAGAGAACTGGAAGGTGGTGGAACAGTTAGGCCTGGGTGAACATCATGGGAAAGGTGGGGGTGGGGTGGGAGAAGGGGGTGAGTGGGTAAGGAGACAATCTCACCTGAAGTAGTCTGGGAGGAGAGCCAAGGTAGCAGAAGAAGTGATTATTAGGTAAATGTATTCCAGAAAGGACTTGAAATGAAACGACAAAGCTTAAAGTCACATTGGGGAGAATTTTTAGTGCAAAGTCACACTTTCAAAGCAAACAATAAGGACAAAATAGTTTCCATCAGTGTCTTTAAGGGCATGAACTACAAAAAGAGGGCATGAACTACAGAATAGAATCTAGTAAGTTTCAATTATTTTGTGAGTGACTTTAGAAGAAGGAATGGAGGTTGGCTTACTGAGTTTTCAGATCTACAAAGCTAGGAATGTAACTAATATATTGGATAG